TTACACTTTCTATAAAGTATAAAAAATAAAATAAACCAGACTAAAATTTTTTTTATCGTAAAAAATATCCAACTTAATTTGGGTCTGATATATGACGATTTTGAAATTTATTAACAGTGAATAAATTTTAGAAAAACAATAAACAAATCATTGATTGAAAGAATTAAAAAAAAATTGTTTGTCTTTGAGATTTGGGACGATTTTCAATTTTTTTAACGATAGTCCAGAAATCAAAAAACGCAAATTTAAAATGTCAAGATTGATCAAGAACGCCCTAAAAAACTAACAAAATACCTTGTTTTTAAACACCTCAAAACGGCTTTCTATTTCTGGATCAAGCCATTTGGCGCATGCAAAAAAAAGAAAAAAAGCACCAAAAAAAACATTACAAATTCTCTTGTTTTTTATACACCCCAAAATGGATTTTTATTTCTGGATCATACCATTTAGCGGTATATGTATACGTATTTGAATAATAACATCAATACCTGTTTTTCTAAAATTTTAGTTTTTTTGATTTCTGGACTATTGTTAAAAAATTTCAAAATCGTCCCGAATTAAGTTATATATATTTATATTATATTTTTTTTTGTAAAACTTCTTCTCAGTGAAAGATAAAAAATGATTTTTTCATAGTCTCTGGTTTATTGTATATTTTCAAAAGTGTTATTTTTTTTGCAAAAACTCGACGACTTGTATTGTCTTAGTAACTTTTAATAATCAAAGGATAACAAATTTGAAACTTTCTGTTAAAATCTTTGAGTTAACGATTTGTTTAATGTAAGTATCTCTAAAATTTTAATTTTTTGATTTCCGCAACAGTTAAAAAATCGTGACTGGATCCAAGTTAACCTGAATATTTTTTGAAAACTTTATCTTTGAGTACTATAACAAAAAGGTGTTTTTATAATCTTTGATATGTTTTTTTTTTATTTTTTATATTTTATAAAAAATATTAAAAATTCCAAAAAGTTAAATATTATATTGCAAAAACTTGATTTTAGACGTTTTTAGTGGCCAAAGAGTGACAATTTTAATGTTTTTTTTTAATTCTTTCTATTTCTAAACCATTGTTAAAAATTTCAAAATCGTTATATACCAGATGCGAATTAAGTTAGATATTTTTTTTGTAAAGCTTCTCTGTGTACGATAAAAAAGATATTTTTTTGTATACGCTCCCGAAAATAAGTCTTTTCCGGACTCAATAAAATAGTACGTAAAATAATTATTTTTAGGTACTCAGTCCCCAAAAACAGTTTATCCGGACTAAAAAATAAAATTGGTTACTATAGTGTAATTTTTTTTTTATTAATAACAGGTGTGAATTTGTGTTTTGGGAGCTTTAACAAAAACTATTAACTATTTTTTAACTATTTTTTGACATTTTATTGAACGTAAAACAATCTATACGCCGTGAAATTTTGACAAGACACTTGATATACCTTCTTTTATAAACACATTGTATAAGTTTTCATTGTTTTTAAAATGTAGATAAATTAGTTATTTTGATTCACATTTTAGATTTATTAAATTTCAAATTTCTTCGCCTTTATATGGTACTTTTGGATTTGCATTTTTCAGTTTAGTATTTTAGACTCTCAAAAGCTTAAAAATCTCTGGGAGAGTATAACACTGAGTAACAAAAATTCCTTCAAAATTATATAATTCTAGTTCGCGGATGCCAACTGTCTAAACCCAGACGGGACACAAACAAATAATTCATCATTTAGCTCGAGATTTAATTTTACATGATTGCCATCGATCCATTCGAGTGTCTTTTCGCTTCTAAATTTCACAACAAATTAGGTTTAAATGAAGATAAATAATTCATTAAAAATAGACCAAGGTTAAATTGTTTTCAAATGCTGATAATAATTGAAAGGGTTATGAAATACGCGTGGATTTGCTTGTAAATAAATATCAGGGTACCTAACTCTTTGACGTAAACGGGAACAAAGTCGAGACTAAAGTCTCAAGCATGTGGCAGAAATTTAAAATGCCCTCTTTTTGGCAATTTTAGATTTATGTAACAAAGAAAACTACTATTTAAACTTCCGGCGATATTTTAAGCATCGAGTTTAAAAATACACCACTTATTTCAAAAATTCTTTCATGACACCACAATGAAAAATGTTTTTTTTTTAAATAATATTTTCATAGTCTCTGGTTTATTGTATATTTTCAAAAGTGTTAATTTTTTTTTTGCAAAAACTTGATTACTTGTGTTGTCTTAGTAACTTTTAGTGATAAAAAAATAATAAATTTGAAACTTTTTGTTAAAATCTTTGAATTAACGATTTTTTTAATGTAAGTATCTATAAAATTTAAATTTTGTGATTTCTGCAGCAATTAAAAATCGTGACTAGATCCAAGTTAAATTGAATTCTTTTTGAAAAACTTCATCTTTGAGTACTGTAACAAAAAGGTGTTTTTATAATCTATGATATGTTTTTTTTATATTTTATAAAAAGTATTAAAAATTCCAAAAACTTAAATATTATATTGCAAAAACTTGATTTTAGACGTTTTTAGTGGCCAAAGACTGACAATTTTAATGTTTTTTTTTAAGATTTTTGAGACTAAAGTCTCAAGCATGTGGCAGAAATTTAAAATGCCCACTTTTTGGCAATTTTAGAGAATTTTCCGTTTGATTTATGTAACAAAGAAAACTACTATTTAAACTTCCGGCGATATTTTAAGTATCCAGTTTAAAAATACACCACTTATTTCAAAAATTCTATCATGACACCACAATAAAAAATGTTTTTTTTCTCCCTTCAATGAAATCTTTTATAAAATAAAACAAAACTTTTATTTATTTATAAAAGTCAAATCACGTCTTTGAAAAATTGAAGTGACCTTGAACTTTGCAGCAGGTGGCTAATTCTGCTGATCCCCCCATAAATAAAATCGATTGCCAAGTTTTCAATTTTAAAAATACGATTTACATAATTTCCGACATAAAACCCGAGTCAATTTTTGAGCTATCTGTTTCGCCTTTGACCTTTTTAATAGTTTAATAGTTTTTAATAGTTTTCTAACTTTTTTAGGAAACAACCTTTTTAATCTCTGAAAAATTAGACAATTTGCGTTTTTTTGCACTCAAGTGTACATTGTACTGCTAACTGCACTAGTTAAATTTAAAATTCTCAAAATTTACGTAATTCATAATAAAATATTGTTGACTTGATCTTAAAAAAATATTAATCATAATTATTCTATTTATTTGAAAGGTATTTACTAATTAGAAAGTTCACAGGTATAGCGAGGTTCCATTTTCAATGGAAATTAACTTTTTGTATGGGATAACAAAACATACAATTCCATAAATTAAAATTTTCACAGTCGGAAAAATAATAACAACTGCGGACACGGAATTTTGGACATCAAATTATGTCAGTTCAAAAAATGTCAATGATAAACCATTATGATTGACTTTTGGAAGTAAAATTTGAAAGTTTTAGTTGAAATGTATTTTTGGTGTCGATTTTCTAATACAATAATGTCAGCAGTCGTAGCACCTTTTTTTATAGTTCAAGAATTATTTTGATCTGTTGTCATTTTTCTCTAAAAACTACAAAAATCGAAAAAACATTGCACATAAAGTCAGTTTTACATTTTTATATATGTAAATAAATGTAAAACGGATATTTTAGGTCACAAACCGATTTAATGGCCTGAAAAAAGAAAAAATGACAATGTTTGCGACTTATTTTGGTAATTCTTCGGCTTATTTTTGACGAAATTTTGCGTTTATGATTAAAAAGTGTGCTAAAATGTTAGTAAACGGCACAAAAAATTTCCTTTTTGATCAAATTAGGTGATATTTTGGTTCGAAATTTTACAATTTTTAGCCTGTTTTAGCAAAATCTATCGACAAAATTGAGTTTTAAAATAAAAAATTATGACATAATTAGGTTTTTAACTCAAAAACGCTTGGAAATTTAACCTATTTTGACTTATTTTTAAGAAATAATTGTGTTTTTGGCTCGAAAACATATTAAAGTGCTTGGAACAGGTCAAAATGCCAAACTCTTGGTGATATTTTGTTTGTGTTACCTTTGTATTGCCTGAAAAAAGTAAAAATAATAATAATAATGTTTGCGACCTATTTTGGTGATTTTTTGACGAAATATTATTATTTTTATATGAAATAAYTGCGATTGTGATTAAAAAGTGTAAACCATTGGAAAACGGCACAAAAATTGTCAATTTGATGATATTTTGGTTCGACTTGGCAAAATTTACCAAAAAACTAAGTTTTTCGTACAAAAACGTGCTGACGGCAAAAAAAGTCAAAAACAACATCATTTTTGACCTAATTTTTGTGTTTATTGGTCCAGTTTAGTGAAATAYCATCTTACCTTTCATTGAAAATGTACAAATAATACCATTTTTGATTTAATCTGATGATTACTACAAAATTCGAACTACAACTACAAAAATCGAAAAAAAGTTGCAGTTAAAGTCAGTTTGTAATGTAAATATCTGTAAAACGGATATTTTAGGTCACAAACCTATTTAATTGCCTGAAAAAAGCTAAAATAACAATGTTTGCAACCTATTTTGGTGATTTTCGGCTTATTTTTGACAAAATTTTGAGAAATAATTGCGTTTATGATTAAAAAGTGTGCTGAAATGTTTGAAAAAGTTTCGTTTTTGATCAAATTTTATTTAAGTACTTATTTATAAAAAGTCCAATCACGTCCTTGAAAAAATTAAATGTCCTTGAACTTTGCAGCAGGTGGCTAATTCTGCTGATCCCCCCATAAATAAAATCGATTGCCAAGTTTTCAATCTTAAAAATACGATTTACATAATTTTTAAAGACCCGAGTCAATTTTTGATCTATCTACTTCGCCTTCGACCTTTGAGAAAACAATTTCACCAAATCTGTCAAGTAAACAACATCAAAGTGCATGGATGCACATCTGAAGTGAGTAAGAAAGACAGAACATGAGCGTTTTTTAATTAAGACTATTTGGCTCGGAGTCCGAGTGTTCTAAAAACAAGCCATCAGTCTATCAGAGGGTCGCGAACGTTTGACATCCTCTCTGTAATAAATTCGTTCACATTACAGTTACAAGTGTTATTTATTTAATTGAATTGATAGAGAAGTGCAAACAATTCCAGTTTGTTAGGTGAGTTCGCGTAATGGCTTGATCCCATTTTAGTTTCCTAATTAATTTGAATTGTTTTTAATTCGCCAGTGTGTAGGTTTGCATTATTTTCCTTTCAGACGCTTACAACGAAAATGCAAGAGTGATGGCAAACGAAAACGTGAAATTGAAGCCTTTGGGCACAAATAAGTGAGTATTTAAAGTAATAACAAATAGTTGGCACTACTGAAAGGTGAATTGTAGATACACGGATGGAGAAGGAGGTGGAGATGGAAATTCTCCAAGTCCGAACGAGGATTACGACCCTCACCTCTACAGAGAGGTGGACAATCCCACCACGTAAAACCCACCCTTGGAATCGTAAACTTTCTAACTTTTTTTTGTAGCAATATTGAGACTCTTATTCATTTGCTCAAAGGGTGTTTAGGGACTGGTATTCTGGCAATGCCTGAAGCTTTCAAAAACTCGGGACTTCTCAATGGACTGGTTTCGACTTTTCTCATTGGGGCTCTTTGTACATATTGTCTACACGTCCTAGTAAGGTTTTTCAAATTGAGTGAAACCAATAGTGAAAAGTTTCTAGGTTCAAGCTCAATATGTTATGTGCAAACGGCTGAAAGTTCCAATGTTGAGTTATCCACAATCGATGAAAGTTGCACTAGAGTCAGGTCCACAGTGCCTTAGACCATTTGCGAAATATTCACCGTGAGTGACCAACACCTAGTGATTTGAGCCTAAACTTTGTTTTTTAGATTATTGGTCGATTTTTTCTTGATTGCGTACCAGTTAGGCATCTGTTGCGTTTACATAGTTTTCGTCGGTGTGAACGTTAAAGTAGTCCTTGATCAATATTTAGGAAAAACGAGCATAACGATCTACATCCTGTGTACTTTTATCCCGTTTTTGCTAATCAACTGTATAAGAAACCTGAAATTGCTAGCACCGTTTTCAACCCTTGCGAATATCATAACTTTGGCTTCATTTGGTGTTGTGTGTTATTATGTTTTCCAAGATTTGCCAGATATTAGTGACCGGCCAAGTTTTGGGCGACTTTACACTTATCCACTGTTTTTTGGTACCACTTTATTCGCCTTGGAAGCAGTTGGAGTGGTTAGTAGAATTAAATTATTTTGATTTGTCCCACCACCGAAAATTCCAGGTCATAGCTTTGGAAAATAACATGAAAACACCGAAAAATTTCGGAGGCTATTGTGGAGTGTTAAACATCGGTATGGTAGTCGTTACTGTTCTCTACGTCGGTTTGGGATTCATCGGTTATTGGAAATATGGTGATAATGTTCAAGCTTCCCTCACTTTGAATTTTCCAATTGAAGAACCGTGAGTGAAAAAATTGTAAAGTATTTTTAGTAGTAGTGGAATTTTAGTATGGCTCAAGCTATCAGCATATTATACTCGATTGCCATATTTATTTCGTATGGGCTTCAAGGGTATGTCCCCGTTGCAATCATATGGAATACCTACATCGTGAAGAGACTTGAAGGCAGTTCCCATCTTCTTGCATGGGAATACCTGCTACGCTTCGTTTGCGTGATCGTAACATGTAAGTATTTCACATTTACTCCATGGAGTAAAAATTCGATTTTTGCGCCTAAGCAAGTACACTTGAGTGCAAAAAAACGCAAATTGATTTTTATTATAATGTCTGTTAATAAATGCCAGTTTTTTGACGTTGTTTTTGTCACAATTCAGAATTTCATAATTGTCGGCCATCTGCCAACTTCTATCAAGTTTTTTCATTTTGTTTTTAACACTGACTATGATACTGCACTGGCAAAATAGTTTTCTAACCTTTTTGGAAACAACTTTTTTAAATCTCTGAAAAGTTTGACAAATTTGTTTTTGACAATTTGCGTTTTTTTTGCACTCAAGTGTACATTGAACTGCTAACTGCACTAGTTAAATTTAAAATTCTCATAATATAAATATTCATAATATACTATTGTTAACTAAATCTTAAAGAAAATATTAATCATAATTATTCACAGCTCACAGGTATAGCGAGGTTTCATTTTTGTATGGGATAACAAAACATATAATTCCATAAATTAAAATTTTCACAGTCGGAAAAATAACAAATTTGTACAATTGCGCACACGGAATTTTGGACATCAAATTATGTCAGTTCCAAGCCACGCTTTATTGTCATTATGATTGAGGTTTGAAACTAAAATTTAAAAGTTTTAGTTGAAATTTATTTTTGGCGTCGATTTTCTAATACAATAATGTCAGAAGTTGTAGTACGTTTTTTATACCTATAGTTCAAGAATTATTTTGATCTGTTGTCATTTTTTTCTAAAAACTACAAAAATCGAAAAAAAGTTGCAATTTTACATTTTTATGTATGTAAATAAATGTAAAACGAATATTTTAAGTCACAAATCTATTTAATAGTCCGAAAAAAGCAAAAATAACAATGTTTGCGACCTATTTTGGTAATTCTTTACGAAATTTTGCGAAATAATTGCGTTTATGATTAAAAAGTGTGCTAAAATGTTAGAAAACGGCACAAAAAGTTTTCTTTTTGATTAAATTAGGTGATATTTTGGTTCAAAATTTTACAATTTTCAGCCTGTTTTAGGAAAAACTATCGACAAAATTGACATAATTGTGACATAATTGAGGTTTTTAACTCAAAAACGATGCAAACACTTAAAAATTTGACATATTTTGACTTATTTTT